AACAGCACCCCCCCCCCCCAACCACCACCGTAACACACACACGTTATTCCAAGTCAGCTCTTGTGGCCAGCATCACACAGCAAATTAAACCAAAAAAATCCCAAGCTTTGTTTTGGTTCCATTAAAAGGTAAATCGCTCAAGGAGATAAATTTGCAAAGGTTGGGAAGGGGGGGGGGGGGTTGGACCTTCAAAGACATTACCCTACATGACATGGCCTAAAATAATCAATATTGCTTTTCAATTACCACATTCGGCATGGCTGCAACATCAACTATAAGAAATTAAACATAACAAACAGTCGTACAAAGCTGTGATTATTTTTTCAAGTTCAAATCGCTGTTTTCAACCATTTTGTCGCCAGTGTGTAGCGGCAGGCAGGTGTGAGACAATGTCGTACATGTCTTTCGCAAAATGTTATAGAAAAATAAATCAAAATCTATTTAACTCTTTCCATTCAGTGTGTGGGGGGGGGGGGGGGGGGTGGTTTCCACATTTGTGCCAGATCAGTTTTCGGCCAAGGAAATTTTTTAGGGTCCTCTTATTTATTCATGAATTTTAAATAGCATTTTCTTAGCAAGATAGCTGTATTTCATATCAAATTAAAGGGAATTAGATAGAGAATACTATTAGGTAAAATAAAACAATATTACAATAATAGTTTGAATTTTATTTGTAATATTATGAGATCAAATTTTTGTTTTAAAATAAATGCGTGCCAAATATGAACGTATCAAACTACTATAATATAAGGTCTGTGTAGATGATATCCTATTCTGCTTCAATGCCAGAAAGTATAATATATAATATATAAATATCCATATATAATCAGAATACATATACATTTTGAACATAATCCAATTATTGACAGAATTTTACATATTTTTGTAACGTTAATATCAATCGAGAAAATCAGTTTCTTTGCATATTATGTATATAAATGTCTAAAACATTAGTTACAAAATATTTACTATAGTTCACATTTCTTTCTGTGTGGTACTTTCTAAAGCACCCCTTAACACACATATGGTGTCTTCCTGTGCATCCGATGTATACATAACAGCTGCGTTTGGTTAATTTGTGCACTGAACAGTATATGCACACTGTCGATCATGCCCGTCATAGTCAACCAGGGGGGCTGTTTTCACTGTGACGCTCGTCTGCACTGTTGATGGATTTTTCCCCTGGCTTTGATTGGGTGGGCACTAGGGCAATTATTAGTGTTTCAGGGGTCTGGACTTTAGAAACTTCTACCAGCTGCACATGGGCGCCCGCAGGGGGGGGCAAGGGGGGCACTTGCCCCCCCCCTGGATTGATTGGATAAAGTGTTTTAGACAAAAATAGACAAAAAATGTATTAAAGTAAAGAGAAAATAAAGAGAAAGTAACTAAGCTGATGTCCTGTCCGTTCGTTCACCATACAAATACGCTACGGTAAATTAAAACTACATTAAAACATAACTAACAATTTTTTGCCCCCCCCCCTGGAAAGTTAATCGATTATTTT